GCCCTCAAGAAGAAGGAATGCCAAAGCCTGGACGAAGATTACGCTTTGGATCCAACCTCGGCGCTAAAACCCACGTCTAGGTTGAGGAAGGCCTGCATGGAGGAGGCTGAGCTCCTGCAGCAGTTCGGGGAGTTCTCTCCGTCAGGACTGGGCGCGGTGGTCACTGAGAAGGTGGCCATGCTACGCAAGATTGCCCAAATTTGCACCAACCTTAAGGGCATCACGATCAAGGAGCTCTGGGACGCCACGGTGCAAATCTCGGCGACCGCGACGGTGCTCAGCGTGCGCACTCAGCGGACAGGGCAGGTGGTCTCGACACCTGAATGGGAGGAGCTAAGGGAGGAGGCCCGTCAGCTGAGAGGAGATCTAGCTCATCTCAGAAATGAGAATGAGGGCCTCAAGAAGGAAAACGAGAACCTCAAATCTCGTACCAAAAAACTCGAGGAGAAGAAAGCGGCGGCGGAGCGGGCGCCGAGCCCCCAGCCGGCCTTGTCCCGACCCAAGAGGCTGGCGACACGGCCGACCATCGTGGAGGAGACGGAATCGGAGAGGGAGGGAACTCGGGAGACGTTCATTGTCCTCCCGCACCCCCCACCTGACCCCGCTTGCCGTCCGCAACCCGGGAAGGTCATCCCTCCTGTGGTCAGACCTCCGCTCAAGGGGGTCTCGACCACTATTGAGCCCCCGAAGGTGGTGGTGTCCGCTCTCGTCGTCTCGGCGGAGGGGACACCGGAGGCTGACCTGGTCACGGTGATCACGAAGGTCTTGGCGAGCATGAGCATTCACCCTCGCTCGCCCCCGATCACTGGTCCTCCCGTGATCGCTAGGGAAGGTGGGGCGGTCGAGGGATCTGCCATGGAGATAGAGGTGGAGGTGCGCCGCCGCCCCCCCTCATCCACGGGGAATAGGCGAGGGCAGGAGGGAAGGAAGGACCCGACTCGGCCCCTTGCTGCGGGGGCCGGTGAGGGTGGCCAGAAGGCCACCAAGAACAAAAAGAAGAAGAGGAAGGGGAAGAAGAGGAAGGAGGACACTGCCCCACAGGTACTCCCAACCCAGGGTCTCCCCCAGAACGAGGGCCGGGAGACAACAAAGCCGGACCCCAAGGGTCGTCAAGGAGTCGCTATAGCCCGGAAGGACGACCCGAAAGGCAGGGCAGTCACCTCCACTCAAAAGGCCAAAGAGCCGATGAGTGCGAAGGTGGCCTCTACTCGTCCCCCCACTCAGCCGCCCACAGCGGACGGCTGGAATAAGGTGATGGAAAGGAGAGCGGGGCGAAAGCCCCAATCGACCCCAACTCAACCGACCTCGGGGGGAAAAGCACCCTCCCTTCCGGATAGCGGCAAGGGGCAACCGTCTAAGGGGAAGAAGGGGAGCAATCAGTCCCCCGAGGAACCCCCAAAGAAGGTGGGTGGCAAACCCTCCCCGGAGTCCATCACCAAACCGGGAGGGAAAGGAGCGCCGCGTCTAAAGGCGCCAACATCTGCGGCGGTGTGTATCACCTGCCCGGAGGGTAGGTATGGCGAGGTGATGCGCACCGCCAGGAGCAGGATCCCTTTCTCGGAGCTGGGAATCAGCAACCTGAGGTGTAGGAGAGTCATAACCGACGCTCTCATCCTCGAGGGTCCCGACCCTGAGGGGGTGGGACTCGCCAACACCCTGGCCGGCAGGCTGAAAGAGGTGTTCGCGGGCACGGAGGGAGTGCGGGTCGACCGTCCCACAAAAAAAGCGAAGATCTGCCTCCACAACCTGGAGGACTCCATCACGGCCGCAGAGATAGCTGCGGCCGTGGCGGACTTTTCGGGGGGAGGTCCCTCCGATATCAAGGCGGAGGGCCTAAGAGAGCCCCTAACGGGCTCGCAACCGCCTGGGCGCAGTGCCCCGTCGCCGTGGCCAAAAAAATCGCGGAGGCGGGCCACATCCAGGTCGGCTGGGGGATGGCTCGAGTCGAGGTGCTGGCGACGAGGCTTCCGCTGCCTGGAAGAGGGGCACGTTCGCCAGCACTGCCGCAGCGACGTCGATAGGTCCGGCGTATGCTACCGCTGCGGCGGCCCGGGCCATCGGGCCGCGGAGTGCACCGGACGCATTGTATGTCCGGTGTGCTCCACGGCCGAGAAGGAAGTGACCCACAGACTGGGTGGGGAGGCGTGCATTGCCTCCCAAAAGAAGAGGGGGAAAGGGAGAAAAAGGGTGGGGAAAGCCCGAACCTCGCCTCCCTCCCTTTCCCCACAGGTTGGCGGCCCGCAGCAACCCTCTATCTTCCAGAAGCCGGTTGCGGGGCCCTCCGGGTCGGGTCTACGTGCCCCTCCCCCGAAAGAGAGAAGAGAGCCTAGGAGGCTCGGGAAAAGGGAGGTTGGCCCATCTGCACCTGAGGACTCAAGAGTCCTCCCTGAGGTGCAGATGGAGGAGACTCCGCCGACGGCGGACGGAGAGGCAGGGGGGGGCGGATATAGCCCCTACACAAATGGAGGTGGATGGCCTGGAGGAGGAGAACTTGTCGCCCAACAATGGCGACTAAACTCCTCCAGGCTAATTTAGGCCATACTAGGATCGCCCAGGACCTGTTCCTGCACTCGCCTGAACGCGGGGCAGGCCTGGGCGTGGCGTCCGAGCCCTACCGGGTCCCGGCCGACGACACTCGTTGGTTCGAGGTCCCGGGGGACTCGGTCGCCATATATTGGAGGAGCTGCCAGCAATCTCCCTGACCGACGCTTATCGAGGCCGAGGAGTTCCTGGTGGCGGTGATATGGGGCGCCCTGGTGGTGGTCGCCCTTTACGCTCCCCCCAGATAGATAGGGGCCGACTACGAGGAACACCTTGACTGGGTAGCAGGGGTTATAAGAAGATGCACCCCTCTCCCGGTGGTGGTGGCCGGGGACTTTAACGTCAAATCCACGGCGTGGGGTTCCCCGGCCACTAACCATCGTGATCGGCTCACCGAAACCTGGGCGGCGTCGTCGGGCCTTCACCTGCGTGCGTCCGCAGGGCGAATCGATCATTGACCTCACCTGGGTCAATGGCCCTGCGGCGCGCGCGGTGGGGAGCTGGAGGGTGGCGGAGGGGATCAACGCTGGTTCCGATCACCTCTACATAGAGGTAATCCTCTCCGCCATCTCCCCCGAGGTGCTCAGGCGCCGCCGGGAAAGGGAGCGGGGGCGGCCCGGCAGATGGGCCCTCCATAAACTGGACGAGGACGCCCTCAAGGCGTCCATGGCCGGGACGGAGTGGGCTCGGGGGGACGATCCCTCTCGACCCATTCGGTCGCCGGCGGACGTGGAGGAGGAGGCGGAGGGAGACTCGGGGAAGATATAGAGAGGGCGTGCAATGCGTCCATGCCCCGAGTCCGTCCCACGCCCTTCAGGTCTGCGTACTGGTGGACGGAGGAGATAGCCGAACTTAAGCGCTCCTCCGTCCAAACCAGACGTCGAATGCAACGGACCAGAAGGGCGGGGAACGTCGCCGAGGCGACGAGGGCGCACAGGGCTTTCCGAGCCGCACGGAAAGCCCTACGCGTAGCTATTGTGAAGGCCAAGGCCAGGGCGTGGGAGGATCTGCTCAAGTCCCTGGACAAAGACCCTTGGGGGCGCCCGTACAGGATAATCCTGCAAAGATTGAGACCCTGGGCGCCCCTGGTCACGGAAAGTCTTGAACCCCCGCTCTTCGACAATGTGGTGGGAGCCCTCTTCCCGGATGAGGGGCCGCCGCCCCTTCCGTACGAGGGTCCCCCTCCGGACTGGAACGAGGAGTGGGAGGTGTCCGGGGACGAGTTGACCCAGGTGGCTCGCCGGCTCGGCGGGGCGAGAAAAGCCTCTGGGCCGGACGGGGTCCCGGGCCGAGCTTGGGCCCTGGTCTTGGCCGATGTCGGGGCCCGCCTGAGGCACCTCTTCACCGGGTGCCTCAGGACGGGCACTTTCCCCAGTCGGTGGAAAAGGGCGGGATTGGTCCTCATACCCAAGGTGGGCCGGCCCCTGGACGCCCTTTCCGCGTATAGGCCCATATGCCTATTGGACGAGGTGGGAAAATTCTTCGAAAGGATCGTGGTGGCCCGCCTCGTCCGGCACCTCTCTCGGGAGGGCCCGGACTTGAGCGACGCTCAGTATGGCTTCCGCGTTGGCCACTCCACGGTGGACGCTATTCTCCGTGTGAGGGCCTTCGCGGAGGCCGAGACGGAGGAGAGGAGGGTAGTTGTGGCAGTATCGTTAGACATAACGAATGCCTTCAACTACCTCCCCTGGGACCGGGTAGAGGAGGCGATGCGGTATCACCGCTTTCCCCTCTATCTGGTCCATATTGTCTGGGCCTATTTCCGGGAGAGGACTCTGGAGTTCGTCGACCGTGACGGACTCCAGCGCGGAAGGGGCATGCGGTGCGGGCTCCCGCAGGGGTCCGTCTTGGGGCCCCTGTTGTGGGACCTCGCATACGACCGCGTCCTCAGGACAGCTCTTCCCCCGGGCAGCACAGTCGTCTGCTACGCGGACGACACGCTAGTTCTGTCGGGGGCACCGACTGGGGGGAAGCCAATGTGGCCATTGAATGCGTCGTACGCTCTATTCGGGCGCTGAGCCTGAGGGTGGCTCCCAATAAAACCGAAGTGTTATTTCTGCACGCTCGGTCCGAGGGGCCGCCCCCACATGCCCACATTATGGTGGAAGATACCCGCGTTGTGGTGGGGCCTGTGTTGAAATACTTGGGCCTCACCCTGGATGGAACTTGGGGATTTGTCGAACACTTCGAACGACTTAGCCCCAAGCTGGGCAGGATGGCGGGCGTGCTGGCCTGCCTCCTGCCCAACTTCGGTGGTCCACGGACTTTGGTGAGACGGCTGTATGCCAACACGGTCCACTCTATAGCCCTATATGGGGCCCCGGTGTGGGCGGGTGAGATGGGGGCCAATCGGCGCATTAGGGCGCTAGTCAATAGCGCCCAGCGCGTCATGGCCAACCGTCTCACCCACGCTAATCGGACCGTGTCGCATGCAGCCGTCACGGTCCTGGCCGGCATGATCCCTGCGGACCTCCTCGCCGGGGTGTACGCCGACATGTACACCTGCCTAAGGAGGCTCCGCGAGGAGGGAGAAGACTTGTCGGCCGGGACCATAGGGCGGATCCGAGCCCTGGCCCGGCGTAGGGCCCTCCGGCGCTGGAAAAGGCAACTCGGGGGGCCCAACGTGCCGGGCAGGCGGACCATCGAGGCCATCCGCCCCTGTCTCCTCGAATGGGTGGACAGGGGTCACGGCGGGTTAAGCTTCCACCTGACACAGGTGCTCACCGGGCACGGCTGCTTCGGTGAATACCTGTGTCGAATAGGGAAAGAGTGTACGGCGCATTGCCACCACTGTGCGGCCGATCGGGACACCGCGCAGCACACCCTGGCTGAATGCCAGGCGTGGGCTGCCGATCGCGGTGTCCTGATCGCAGTGGTTGGCGGCGACCTCTCGCTCCCGGCCGTAGTCAGAGCTATAGTCGGGAGCAAAGAGACCTGGGAGGCGGTGGTCTCCTTCTGCTCCTCCGTTATGGGGCGGAAGGAGGCCGCCGAAAGAGTTAGGAGGGGGGAGGCAGAGGTTGTACCGCTCCCCCCCTCCACCTCCTCTTCGGAGGAGGATGAGAAGGACGAGGTGCCGAGGAGGCGTGCGAGGCGGGGTCGCAGGTGGCGTCCCCGCCCACCTCAGATACAGGGTCCCGGAGGGGAACCCCAATTAAGGGGTTCCCCTCCCACTTAGTGTAGGAACGCCCTCACCTACGGGCGGCCATGGGAGGGGAGGACATCTCCTCTCCCAATCCCCCCGGCCACCCGTTACCCTGACGGGCCGACCCGGAGTGACTCCGGAGTTAGGAGTGGAGCCCACCCACCCACGGAAGAGCGGGCGGGGACGCTCGGACCGCGCTTTCCGATCTCGGAGGCGCGTCCTGGGGCGTCCCCTCACCCGGCCCTCAATAGGTGATACGAGTGGGCTCCGGGGAGGGGGTCCGCGGTAGGCGGGGACTCCTGCCGTCGACAACCCCAAAACCTCCCCAGAACCAACGGGAGGGGTGCGGCGAGAAGTCGTGTGTCCGCCTCTCGCCGCACAAATGCCGAGGACGGCGCAACTGGTGAGCGGGAGGCTTGCGGGTACGTAACCCGCTCCTCCCCTCACCGGGTAAGGAGCGCATTAGCGCTAGCGCAGGGCGGCCCCCCGAAGAATGCCGAAAGGCGATGTCAGGGGGTCGCCCTACTCGCGCGGTGAAGGACACACTCAGGGGTTTTTAGTGGCTATACCTCCTCCTCTCATTTAGAGAGGGGGAGGGGAGTCCCACATACCCCCGGAGACCTCCCCGGGTCTCCGGGGGATGCGTAATGCATTCTCCAAAATTCTTCGATATTAATCAATTGAGTACTATTACTTGATCCAATAAAAGATAGGATTAGTTGTCGTAAATCTGTTTTACATCAGTGATTAATACTTAATAACAATGATTAATACTGAATTTTTTTACTCCATGATATTTCTTATAGTATATCGTTTTTGTATATTCTCAAAGAATATATAATTGTGGTCATAAAATAGGGGAAAAATTATGTATATGTTGTATACATTATGTATATAATTATATTGATAAATTATGTATA